CGCAAGGCGGGGTACACCCTGGACAGGTCGCCAGTCCATTGCAGGGCCACACATAGACGATCAACCACTCACACCTAAGGACAATTTAGGGTAACCAATCAACCTAGACTGCATGTCTTTGGATGGTGGGAGGAAGCCGGAGCACCCGGAGAGAACCCACGCAGACACGGGGAGAACATGCAAACTCCACACAGAAAGGCCGGGGCAAGCGGGGTTTGAACCCATGACCTTCTTGCTGTGAGGCGACAGTGCTAACCACCGCACCAGAGGTAGCAAATCATCACAAACTGTCAAAAGCAACACTATATTGAATATTTTGTTGACGGCTATTCAGATATCAACAATGAGCTATCCAAGTAAAGTCTTGCCAAATTCAATACAAACAAAACCAAGCTGAATCCATGACCATTCACAATTTTATTTATAGTGAAATGCACAGAAAATATGCTATGTTAAATATGAAGTTGTGCCACAGCTCACAACAAAAAAATCTGGATGGGTGCCATGGTTCCCAGAGCTCAATGAATGACAAAACTCATTTCACAGAAGGGAAAATATTCTAATAAAGGCCGTAGCCAGCAGGAACACATATGACCCATTTGTATAGCCTACTGCACTTGTGCAAGACAAGAAGAATCTGCCTGTTATAATGAAGTTATTATTTTTTGACATTTCACAGTCTGTTTGTGGTGTGGAGATTTGTTATTTTGGGCTCAACTGTGAAACTTATGTTGTTTAAATTATTCATGGCATTTCACAAGAAGTAAAGACAGCTAGAATAACGTGTCTGCCATTTCCCACTATGAAGAAGTAAACATATACTTAGATGCAATGGAAAAACTGTTTCCCACAAACTACGAGCTCAGACAGCAGAACCCCAGCAAAGTCAGACTCTGGCTGATTAGAGCCAAGATGTCCAGAGCCAGAGCCAAGTTGCTCTGATTCGACCCCACAGGCAGAACCAAAAGCATTAACATCTGGCCCAGCCACTGCAGACTCAGTGTGCCTCACATCCTGAGCCAAAAAAAACCAACAGGACAACTCTGTGCCCAATCAAACAGTGAACTGGAAAGAATTCACTTACAGAGACAGGAAAGAATTCAGATTGCTCCTCATGCTGGAGTTGCGGGCTCTTGTGAACTTGTTTAGTTGATTTTTGTTAAAACTAAGAATGGTATCCTCATCTAAAATCTCAACAAAGTCACATAAATGAAAATTTTAATAAAGCTCTTTCCATGACGCATTTCTCAAACACACACATTCTCCACAAACTGTGACCTCACCTGGTGTAATTGGTCTGCTGAGCCGTTGTCCATCCGAAACTCAGAGACAGGAACAAGGAGAGACCCCAGATGCAGCCCACATGCATCATGATGCAGCATGCACACAAAGCAAAGCAGACTGTTGGAGAAAGTGGTAGCAGGAGGCAAGTGGTGTAAGACAGAGGGGAGGACGAGGAGGAGGCCGCTCGCTCAGGATGGGCGGAGAGAATGAATGAGTGGGGAAGAATCGAGAGAGTTGGAGAATGGATAAAGAGACGTACAGAGGTGCTGAAAGGACAACAGCGGCTACAAAGAGGGGGATGGTGTGAGTGAGGAGGGAGGAGAAGGCTTTAATTAAAGCCAGATGTTGCTCCATAATAACCCTGGTTTCAATATAACAGAGAGGGCATCTAGGAAAGATGGGCAGAAGGGAATTGTGTCAGAAGCTGTGGCTGAGGCTTTGTGGACATTCAGAAAGGAATGTGTCTTTTTACAGCAGATGTTTCTGGTTCTTCACATGGTTGAAATTTAAGAAGAAGCTTAAAACTGGGTTTGGATGGCCTTTAACAATATCAACGTCCATCCGGAGTGTCTGGCTGATCATTAAGCAGAGTGCACAGGTGGGGCCAGAGCCCGAGGCTCTACAGCTGTAGCACTCAACTCGTAAGGCCATTAATCTTTACATTCCACAACAACCTGTGAGACCTTTAATTTACTAAACAGAATCGTTTCCTAATACTATGTGACACAATACATACAGGATCCAAAAGGAGCTCCAATGGGACCAAGAAAAAGAAGTGTCATAAAACTAATGACGTGTTTCATCTAACCGTATTTCCCCAAGCCCCAGGGCCTCCTTCGGTTCCCTAATATCTGAGCCAGAGAGCATCTATTGCCCCCACAACCCATCAAGGCAAGAACAACACTCTAAATGGGGGAGTGTTCTTTCTCTGTTAAGAATAACAGATGAGCCAACCCTCTGGCCTACATAACTGAGGCCTGTGGAGGGGGTACTGTTTCAATAATGCTTTTACGGACTGCGGAGCTGCAACACCTTGATCAAAGTCTGGCGCAAGCAGGGTGGACAGCTCATAAAAACACAGAGCAAAGCGTTTCCACAGAGAGACCGTGTCTGCAGTTATATGTGGCAGTTACAGTCTGCTTGACATAGTTTTGGTGCTCATAGTGAGATGGAGAAATTAGCATTCCCTGGTCCTGCTGTGCTGTGTTTGTGTTAACCCAAAGTCCTGATAAGAGGCAGCAGAAGCAGGAATGCAACGACGTGCAGAGTCTGCTGGGGTGTAGACAGCGTAAAGCACAACTGTGCAGCCACTGACATTATGTGTGGGAGTAACAGTGACCTTTCCACTTAGCAGGAATCCAAGCCAAGGGTGTAGGTTTCTGCAATAACTGCTGACAAATCCTTCGAGTTGGACGTGCATTCCTTTTGGAGAGTCAAAAGGGAATAGCAATGGGGGAGCAGATGACTGTTGTCAAGGGGTAGACAGAGAGTAAGGAGAGGAGGGGCTGGAGAAATCAGAAAAATGGAAAATTAAGTTAAAACGATCTGACAGACAGATAAAGTGAGAAGTTGTATATGAATAAACCCTGGAGTTAGGTCATGATCATGCCTCCCAGAGCCAACAGATGACTGTATTATTACTCTACACATTCCCTCTGCAAATCACCCGTTATTATGTCCAAGATAATCTCTTTTTAAACACTGTTTAATGTGACACTGCAAAGGAGTGGGAAACAGCATGCGTGCTGTTGTGTAAGTCCATCTGAGAAGGTGACGGACCGAAAAAGATGATTCCATAACAATCGTAGACCCATCTGTTCTCTGTAATTGTGGCTCCTCTCAAATACACTCTCCCCAGCTTAAAAAAAGATCGGTCTTCCAATTATGCAGTGCAGTACAGTTGGCCAAATTTCATGTGACCTCAGCAATAAATAGAAACACAAACACAGAGATAAAGATTTGTCTGTTAAAAGCTGAAAGAATAACATTAGTGATCAGTTTCTCACAACATCTGAGTTGCCTCAAAGAGCTCATCTGCTTCTCTGAGATTTAAAGAAGCATGCCAATACAGCATAATAGCTTTTTCCTGGATACCCTTCACTCCATGAGAAAATGTGATATTGTGCAATCAGTGTATGGATAACATGCTAAAAAGCTCACAGCACCTCATTTGGCATTAACCGGATTTTAAAGTGAAATATTATAATAAGGACCACACTGAGGACACGTGTTTATCTATCTAAATTAAGCATATAATAGTACCACATTTAATGCTGGTAGCCTTCCTTCACTTCTCATGGCAACTGCTCATGAGACGCATCATCACTTGCCAGCAGCCTAAGTCCAAGGATTGTAATGACAAGATCAGAGCTAGAAAAGGAAATTCCTTTTACAGTGGAAACAGCAAAAGACATATGCTGTGTATTTTCCAGCCATCACAGGAAATTTCAGATATCCTCATACTCATGCATAACTTTGTTAGATGGATCAGTAATTGACCAGAAGCAGGAATTGTTATTGCACTAATGTAGGCTACTTTTGCTACATCAAATACACAAAACTCTCAGTCCACTCCACTTACTGTATATACTAGGCCTAGTCCTACTCTTCATCCTATGAGGTAGTGTAGCTATAATACTAACAGATCTAATAGCTGAAATAGAAGAAACGTCTTTTTAACAGAATAATTTGATCCACATATCAAGAATAAACTGTTCAGTGATGTTATGCAACTTGTAGACGTTATGTAAATATGATATAAATATCATATTTGTGATTAATTAGCTGACATCTTTAACTCTGAATATGGACAGACGTTTTTTGTGTCGTGGGTCCTGGAGCTCAGTGTCGTCAGGGTGACACCTGGTGGTAAAAACGTCAATCTACAGCCTGGGTGGCTGTGATAGGTGGGTTCAGTTACGGTATTTCACCGTGTTCAGTTCCCGTGACTATGAGGCAATTTACACAGCGTTTATGACGCTTACGCCTTTTAATTACGAATTGCATATAAGGCGCAAGAACAACAGGAAATGGGAAATGGCAGTTTTCAGGTATTGGATCAAATCTATGGCGCTTATGAATTTCAAAATAAAAGTCGCCGGAAGCGACTTTTACAAAACCTTTAGTTACCTACTAATCTATCTACAGCTTTTCCCACTGCTACTGAACGACTCTACCACTACCATTAGTTTACTAGTGATAGACTAGCTTGTTATACAGTGCTGTGCAAATCCTGCATTCACACGTTGATGACAGATCATTCAAAATAAGGCAATGTGAATGCTTATAGATTTCAGTGAAAATGTGACTCAAGTTTCACTGTTACCGTGACTTCTAACATATTCTCTCTAAGAGAGGGGATTATAGTTTTTACAGCAAATGGATGCACATACAATTTAAAAACAATTTATGTGGTGTATGTGTGTGTGGCAGGATGTGTAGCTAGAAACACGACTGTCTGAAGTGATCGTGGACGAATGCATAAATGTGCACTTTTATGGCTCCAGGTCTCCATGTATTTTTTAAATATTTGAAACATACTTACATGTAATTGAGATAAATTAACTTACTTATTATTTTTGTATAGATAATGAATGCATGCTTATTCATACAGGTCAGGTAAGATCCCAGGACTACAGTCAAGTTGCATCTGCCCATATAGTTGCACACCCACAAAACACATGAAGCACACACACAAAAGTACAAGTTGTCATAGGTACTGTTTTTCCAATATACATATATTTCATGATGTTCATCAATATAATAAGACATTGATAGATTTACACTACAATTATTTTATGTACTTTAGTTTTTCATTCAGTCTCCTCTCCTTTACGTCGAGTCAACCTTGCTTAGTTTCTAATCCCATACCAAATGACAGCACAATAAATCTATCAATAAATAAAAGCAAAGGAAAAGAAAAAGATCAAATAAAACTGAGCACATTGCCCATGATCCTCCAGTCCTGTCCCTCCTGTAAGGCCTGATGGCCAGGGGCAATATGGGCCTTCATCCCAGAAACCCCAGTCCCAAAGAGAAATCAAAATCTTTCCTCAAAAATAAACAGATTTAAACAAAAAATATATCTTGTAGATACAAACCGCAATCTGATGTAAACTGTAGAATCATTCTGAGCATTCTGGACAATTGAAGGTAAAAATACTTTTTTCCCCATTAACTTCCCATTTTGTTTACCTTTACCCATTAGTGTTTACACACAAACAATTCAGTGACATCTGGAGTTATTAATAAATTGATGCAAAAGAAAAACACAATATTTGCTTTAAAAATAAAACATGTTAACATATATTAAGTAGAATATTGTATGTTTATAGCCATCCAGTGAACATTCAGAGACTCAGATTCCCTCCTATCGCTGTACTTATCCCATTTGGGGGTGACGGTAAATGTTGCGGACCATTCCCCGCTCTGTACATATTACATGGTGCTTTGTTGAAGGAATGGATCTTCTGTTGGTCTCTTTCTTTCTGCTGGTTTGAATTACAAGTTCACCAGTTATATTTCAAACCTGGAGGCGGGACACTTTTCCTCATGTTGGTAACTTGCAGTTTGGATCATCCCCAAATGACTTGAACACAGCGTTAAGTTGAGATCACTGAACAATTCTTGAGGTTGACATAAAACTATATTCTCCACTGAATCATGTTCCCATCCCACCAAAATGAAGGAATCACAACAGAAAAAAGTGCCACGGTGTTAAAATATATGCACACTTCTTGTCATACAGACAATAAAGCAACAGAAAAAGACAGCACTCACTTCATTTTCACCATTGTGACCAAATTGGTTGAGCACTCACAACAGTTGGATTTATGGATAACACGGAAGTCCTACCCCAATCAGTAGTGTTATTAAAAGGACCACATTTGTAAGCGTGTAATTTGTGATTTGCTATTGCCAAAATCCCAATTATACAGTTTGCTAATGTATTTTTTGTCCTCATATATATTTTGGTAAATTACAAGTACCTTAAACCTGAGGATATAGGACCCCCTACCCCCAAAACACCCCCATATTACAACACCAAACAATGCAGATTTTTTGTAACATTTTTCTTGCTTTATGTCTTATAGCTATAGTTAGTTTTTACGTCTTTTCATTTTAGAACTTGGCAGCACTATGGAGACACAGAAAAAATAAGAGTTGTGCTATTATTAGTTATAGGATTGTGTGTCTAAAAACTTGTTACAGATTAGAGAAGCTCTTCAGACCCGGATACACATGGTGGGGGAGACTGTACTTGAGATCTGAAGCATGCGGTCCTTGTGTTTTGGTTTAACTTGCATATGTTAGAATGGCACACTCACAAGCCAAACTGACACACCGTGTAAATGGTGTGTAATAGTTAAAAGGTCTCGTAACCGTAGATAAATAGGATATAGCTATTTAAAACAGACTGGGATAGTTTGGATAACCTGTTTCTCTCCACTTGTTTTTGATGGCAACAGGCAGCGTAAGCGTGGAAATCTGGTCTTTGGTAATCTTCTGCAGTTTACTTTTGCTCTGTTTGGAGGGAAACTAGTAGGGGAAGCAGGGGGGAGTGGGTTTGCTAAGGTTGGGGTCCTTTCTCATAGAACCGGCCGGTAGATCTGTAACCTCTCTGCTTGTGTACTTCAGTGGTCAAGGAAACAACGTGCCCTCGCTCTGAGATTTAAGCGGCCTAATCTGTTAGGATAAACTGGGGATATTCCCAAGACAGAGCTATTCTAACACACACACACACACACACACACAGATGCACCTGCACACATGCACACACACACACAAACACACACTGTAAGATTCTGAATCAGTGAGATGAGCAAAGGGGGGCAGGTTGGTCTCAGCTGGTGGGAAGATAAAAAGTCATGTTGAAAAGAGACAAGGCTACTAAGGCTTTACACACACTTGTTTTGAAGTATTGTAGGTGGGTCATGGTCTCTCTATATCTTCCCAGCGACTATAGCCTACTGTAAGATCTGAAAGCTAAATTTACACATTTTAGGATTGTAATTAGTGGCAGTAATGCATGGGTTGCTTCCTGTTAAGCATTTATTGCAGGCCTGCACACTGTAAAATCTTCAGATTCACAAGACAGAGATTTGATTGAATAACTGATCTCCAACAATTTCAGAGTTTAGATTTACCATGACCGCAAGTAAAACTCCTATAATTGAAGATAAAACGGTTTCCTCAAAAATGCCATTCGCCGTTTTAAGGGATTTTAGGTTAGATTTGTAGAAGGCCTTAGTTTGACAGAGCATTAAAAAAACAAGTGTATCATGTTGCCCTGCTCTCCTGCTCATAAAGTAGCCAAAAGGGTTTGTATGCACAGGAGTAGATGCCAAAAAATGTTGAAAGAATTGTTGAAGACCAAACCAGCGAGGGCACCAATGAAAGAAATAACAACAGAAGCCTCTCCCTTGTTGCTTGGCAGTGTATAACGCACGGAGCTGAATTACAAAAAACACGCCAGACAGAGGTAAAGAGGAGCTCACTGCTGTTGGCAGCAAATGGTACTGATTGCACACTTCCTCTTTACCTGTCTGTTTCACACAAAAATATACTATAATAAAAAATAGAATCTATTATATTTAAAAAAGAAAAAAGGCCTTAACTATAGGGAGAAACACTGAGACAGAACCACTGCGCTAGCAAAACACTCTTCAAAGGAGTGCTTCTGGTTTTTGAATAACTGCTTCTCACGTTTCTTGTCACTAACCATTGACTGTACATTTCTGAGCCTACCCCCAAAGTTGCTGAAACTTAAACTCAACTGTAAATTTTACATTTTCCTCTTTAGCCTCTGTCTCTGTTCCTGGATTTGCGAATAAGGCTGAGTTGTCTCTTTTCTAATGTGCTCTTCATGTGGAGAGGTTTTGCTGCACGAGGATCTTATTGGCCAGGCTATTGACCAGCCAGACAGCGCCATCAAAAACAAGGTTCTTTGTGCATTTTAAACAGATTCCTTTTCCGCAGCCAGCCACTCCCCCTACACAAACTAAATATGTGAGGGTGTGTTTGACTGGAAATATTCTACAGTAACTAATAGAAGTGACTGGAGACTAAGGCTTTTCAGTGTCCATGTAGGCAATGGGCCGGTGAGAATTAGCTTTTGCTTTATGGAAATTTCTCAAATGTCAAATTACACAACGGCCCCATTTTATCCACTGGTATTAGAATTTTTTTTTGCAAGCCCATATCCACAATTTGACATTGATGACATCTCCACAGTATACTGTAAGTGTAATGTTAAGATAACATCATCAATATTAACAAAGAAAATAATTTGGACAGATTGAAAGTCTAATCATGTCTATCCAAAATTTACCCTTACAGCTATTAACTATAACTATTTTCTGCTATGGTTTGTATGACCGACGTTTTCGACACGTTTCATTGCGTGTGTATATATATTTTTAAAAGATACTTACACTTACATGTGCTACAGTAAGACCATTTGTACTACACTGCAATGAAGGAATGTTTTCGAAATAAGACACTACGTAATATTTAAATAAAATAGAAACATCTACAGACATTGGTCCAACTGTACTATGGCAGTATTAAACTTATCAGAAGAAATTGAGGTGTTCAAGCATGCTGAGCGACAGAAGAGGGTTGGGGCATTAAAGACACTACAGGACAGAAATGGAGAAAGAGAAATTACATTCAGAGAATGTGAGGATCAGATGGAAAGGACTGGGACTGATGATTAGTTTAACAATTCATGCATTATTTGTATGTTTGATCAATGTCAGTGAGCAATGACTCTCTCAGAAAGCCAGCAAATAAGCTAAGACCTGATGGCATCAAGTTATAGAAATGTGGAGCTGGAGCTCAAATTTTTGTAACTTGATGATCTTTTAGTACAAGTTTTAGTTCTCCGACTTATTTTGGACTGTCTTAGTGGACAAGTAACACAGATGGACTTGAAAAATCAATTGGTATTTCCCCAGTTAAATGGAGACCGACTCCACTGTGCAAAAATACACCAAAAAGAGGGAGTACGCAGGGACTGATGATGATAACATGCAAGATACACACTTTGAGTAATAGGCAGTACTGCTGAAGCATACGTAAAATTAATACAAAAATTAAAAAATACAAAATGCACACACACACGCACACACACCTACAAAACAGTATATATCAGAATAAAACTCTACAAAGAACTATATATATCAGTTATGTAACAATTATCGCCAATTGTTGTTTCCTTTTCTGTTGTTGCATCGTCACAAGTGTTTGGTTCTCAGTATGGCAGGTTAGAAAAGCCAAGAGTACCCAGAAAGGAGACAGGGCCACACACTCACAGGACAAATATTGACAAGGGTCCAGAGGCGAGGTGGTGGAAGTGGGGGAGCCATGGGGCCCTGATGGGTTTAGGGGTGTTATATCGAGGCTAATTGGGGGATATATATAATAAATTATTTTCTCATGGTTAATTTTGTAATCAATTTGAGGGGTTTTTTCTGTAGCAAGGAAGTTGGGATTAGACTGGGGTAGGAGCAACTCTCCTTAGGTGCTGAAGTACACTGTAGAAAGACAGAAAGGAAAAAGAAAGGTGACGTCTCATTCATCACGTTTAAAAGTAATGCTTCAAACCAATATTTGCCAACAACTTTCTATTTCTATTCTATTTGTGTTAGTAAATTGAGTATAATTGTGTAAAATGTTGAATGTGCATGCCTTATATTATACAGTATATATGTGAAGAATATGTAGTATACATTTTTTCGCAATTAATTACTTTCATTGTTTAAAACAGTTAAGAGGATTCTTACCAATAATGACGATGAGGACAATCACGCATATCACTCCCAGGATAATCATCATCTGTGATAGTGGATTTTCAGAAAAAGTCATTAGTAAAATTTTACCATACTTACAGTAAAAAAGTAAAACAAAAAACACAAAACAAAGACAATCTTAGACTAATAAAGTTCATGTAGTCCAGGCAAATTCTTCACCTTCAATATTTTTTTAACATTGCTGCACAGCATGAACGCCATGATAGCGATATGCCATTGTGTAATGTGACAGTACATAGAGAATTTCTACAGAAAACAACCAATGACAGTGATATTGGTGTCCCGGAAAAATTATGTTTGTGAGCAAAACCTATAGCAGATATCAACAGTTGTGATTAGCCACATGTCCCTCAAGGCACTCCGTTTTGTTTGTTTTTTCATTTGTCGATAAACAGGCAGCCTTTCTACACAGATATTTGCTATTCAAGTAAGCACCTCACCTTGGCGTTCTTCCACCAGTATTTATTCTTCAGTTTTGCAGCGCTGGTCTCAAACTGAGAGGCTCCAGCCTGCAGGGCATCAGCCCTATCGTCCAGTTCTGACAGCTTCTGATCACGCTCCAGAACCTTGTCCACGTTTACACGCATGATGTCCACCACCTGGGCAAAGACACACACAGCAATGTAGCAGAATGTGAGTGAGGGTCAGGCAGGATGGGGCCAAACTGTTAGTTATGGATTATGATTGAAAATTGTTTCACACTAAATCATGGTTTGAAGCATTACATTAATGACTAAAGTGAAACCCGTCCCTAACAATGTTTTTTTTTTTGTACAGTATGTGAGCTAGCAGAGAGGACTGAGTTAAAAGTAAGTGACCAATGAACGACCTGAGCCTGACAACGTGACTGGGTTTGCAGTGAGGTGTGTACCCACCTCGTCAACCTGTGCCTGTGTCTGCTGCAGACGACGGTTGCTGGTGAGGTTGGGAGGTTGATTTCCTCCCTCTGCTGCAGGGGCTCCGGCTGGGGCAGACCTAATGACAAAGAAATACAAATACTCGGTGGTTATATAAAGCATGGCCACCAAGAAAAAGTTTAGAATGCTGTGAAAACAAACAAACTTCATAACAGAAGCTTTCTATCTAATACAAAATACAAAATGAGAGAATAAGAATGCTATTTAATGCTAATTAATTATAGGACAGTAAATTCAATGTGTAATTGTGTGTCCAATGTGCCTGTCTCCCTTAAAAGTTCATAAGAGACAATAAGAAAAATGGCTTTAACACACAAATGTTGAAATACAGATATAACATATACATTAATGGTCATTTTAAGATGTGCCCCTTGCCCCACTCCTGTTCTTTAATATTTTATATATGTGATGATATCTTATATTTTAGGAAGGGGGTAAACATGTTTAATTTGGGGAGATCACAAACATATTGTTTGTAGGACTCTTTTTTGTTTTCAACCCACTCAGTTGTTAATATATTTGCTCACGCAGTGTGGATTTTTGCTGTGGACTGAACAGTGCTAAGAGCTATAACATAATGGCATTGCGATGGAGACACTACTGGCACTTTGCTGCGTATCAAAAGGATGGGAAAGTGCTCAGACTTTTACATGGATATTGAGAATAGAATCCGATCTAATTTGTGGGATTTGGAAGATTTACTGTGTCCCCCCCCAAAAAAGTCCATATGTTCAGCGCTGAGTCCAGTATCTTCTATCTAGTATCTGCTCTTTGCAGCAGGAGAAACAAATACACCAGAATTTTTTTTTTAATTGAATTTATGAAGGTTTATTTAATATTTAAAAAGACCTGATAGATCAACAGAAACAAAATCACTTATGTTTCCTTTATTGGTTCAGTTGAATGCTAATACTGAGTGCCATCTATGTGGTACACAGCAAAAACTATAGACTAATTGTGTATCTTATGCAGGCAAATCATCAGTGATCCATGACTCATCAAAAACACAGCATCATGCTACAGCCGAGCCACAACCTACCTAAATAAGCAGAATTTGCAGAATTTCCAAATTTGTCATATTTGCCAAATATAGAGATTAATCAAGTACACATGCAGCCATAACAAGGACTAATTCAAGTTCCAGAATAAAACAAAATTAACTGGAGATATTATTTGAAATATAGTCTAGGACTAGGCTGGATCCTTGTGCTGAAAACAGTCCCAGTATGTTTAGGAAGGGCCACCAATGGAATTTTATGTGTGGAAGATCTCCTTTATCTTTCAATAACTTAATTTTTTAATGAATGTACTAATGCACCTCAGAAGAATTATGATGTAAGTGCATTTCTAGGAAGCATTTTCCTTTGTAATGGTAAAAAAGTACAGCCTCAGCCATCAGAGAATTGGGAGAAAAACGCATTTCTGTGTGCAACCGCATTTTCTGTGCTACTGCAAATGACTTTTTGTGATTTCCACAAGGTAAATCAGGGGGAAGTTGTCTCATTTGAAAGTACAGGCTCCACTAAAGTGAAAATTAAACCCTGCATACCATCACTGAAATGCAGAATGGACAGCACGCCAATTAACACCACATAACCCATGCAAAAAAAACAGTACCATTTATTTAACCATAATAATAAAATGAATACAATCAAATAATTTTGAATAAGCTACTAATATCAATTCATCTTCAATAATATGTGCTTATTTCAATTAAAAAATCTCAGTTATTGCTATATTTCAATCCAGATAAATCAATAAAATTAGTGAAATTATTTCTAAAATTAGGCTGTAATATCTTCTGTCAAATATACCTTAGTTGTACTAAGCTACACTACAAGTGTGAGACAAAACTCTGTATAAAGGTCACCTTTACACACATTGCTAATCCTCTAACAACAACAAATCCTTTTGAATAGTTGGCCTGATGGTGCTGGTGTTCCCTTTCAGCTGGCCCCAACAGAAACTGGCAATATTAACTCAAGGTTACTTGTGATGGTGAATTATTGTCATTTTGTCCTAAACGATATGTAGGAAACACATTGTTTTAGTTCTTGAGACTAGAGTGATTATCATACTATAATTACAGTATGTTTTAATATCAGTAACTGCCTAATATTAAACTGTATAACATCTATGTAATTACAGTATGCCTCTTTTCACTTGCCAGCAACGAGTATCACCACAAAGGTGTGTTGTGTGCTGAGGTTTCACGCTATCATCACATCTAAACTGACACCTCAACCAACCAGGAGGAGTTGCTAGTGCACTCAACAAGATTTCTCACCAGCGTCCACATCCTGTGAATACTGCCTACTGTGTTCGATGGAGGGACAAACTGGAAGCTCCACATCCAATCTTCACTTTTAATTGAAAATTAATGATGAATCGGGTCTCTGTGTGCTCCCTTGATTGTGGCACATACATTTCTTGATTTAATTGCTGCACCCATCAGATATTGGTGGTGAATGTAACACAGTACGCCTATTTCACTCATCTAAAAAAAAAAAAAAAGGCCATACATTTCAGCCTTTGGACAAAATGTGTCTCTATCTGCTGATGAATTTGCGCATATAACTCCTTCAGTTTTGCCCTATTTCCACAGTGGTATAAGGGTAAAACAAGAGAACAGAAATAACAGGAATTCATGTATCAATCAAACATCACAAAGAACTCTGAACCGAAGAAGGCCGCTAACCTAACATGCTTGGTCGGTGAGGCTTCACATTCCTCTCTCTACGGTCCACTGCTAATGTTAGATTTGCTATGAAAGCCAAATTCAACCCTCTTTCAAGGCAGAGCTTATACAAATAGTCTCGCCCTGAGAGGGTTTCTGTGACACTGAGTCTGTGCAAGCTTTTCATGGATCCTCGATGAAAAGAGGTATCATTTAAACGCTTATCTTACATCCTAGGTATCCTAAAAGTAGACAGAGATAGAAAGAATAGCACCACTTAATGTTGCATTTAAAGTAATTATTCAAAGAAATCATAATAAAGTGAATGGATTTCTGTTTGTTTGGTCACTGTGATGAAAAAGCAGGCTGTCTGACTTTGAGCACTGGAGAGCGACATTTCAGCACTGGACAGCGCCACAGCAGCCCAGAGCAGAGACGGTCTGATCCCAGCACCCTGTCCCATTCTGTTTGATCTCGCTGAACTGAAACGTAACCTGCACATGACGCTCACTTCTGTTATTTCTGGCCGTACACACAGACACGCCAGGCCTACATGATGTCTTGTAAAACAGGCCGTTTCGAGACGAGAACGAGGGGCCTGCAAATACAGCGAAATCCTACCGCGCTGAGGGCGGGGAGGTACCTGGTGATTTTTAAGCACTTAGATGAACAATTCTAACGACATTTTTTGATAAATGTAAGTTATATCACACAGGGGGGTTGTCAACAAACGTGTTGCCACATTTAATGATATGTCGTGTGCTGGCACCAGCTTATTTCAACGTTTTAACTGCCTGCTTTGCAAAAACGGACAGACGCGCTTGGCACGGCTATCTTTCCATAGCCTACCGTTTAAATATTTGCTACACGCGCAGTCCAAAACAGAAAGGGGTTTGTCTGCTGGTGGGAAGACATTTTACATGGTTGTTTGTGTCTGAGGACGCAAACAGCCTGAAATGTGGTGAGATATAGCTGTCCGCCCTCGCACGACAATCGACGACATCCAGTTGGAGGCTAGGCTATCCCCACCCCCCGCTGTAGGTTGCAAATATCACGTAAACTAGGCCTAAGCCTACTTCGGAGCTAATAATATCATCGTCTATAAGAAGGTCTGTAGAGTATTTGTCGAATAATGTCGAAGCTTCAAATGTTCAACATCGTGTCCTTGCTGTTTCTAGAATTAGCCCAGTCTGCACCTGTGGTTCAGCCACACACACACATAAAAAAAGGAAGGCCTGGTAATGTTCAGTAAGGACAAAAAAGACTTTATTATACATGATGCTTTCTGGATGTGGGTTTAATTATCCCGTGGGTAATCGCACAGAGTGTGTTCTTTTCAAACCAAACCAGTCCAAACTGGAAGGGGGAAAAAAGCGTGCGTGCTGGCTCCAGTGAAAAGCACCAGACGACTAAATGAAAGCGACACGCGATAAACATGGAGCTCGTTTACCGTCTAAACGCCAAAAAGAAAATGAGGCTAATTGTGTGTTTAATAACAGATAAACACGATGCCTCCGTCTGCTCCAAGGTTAGGCCGACGCGTTAGCCTCTCCATTTACAATGGGGTCATATTATCCGAGAAAGAGAGAGCTGTAACAATTGAAATCAGCAGCAACATTTAGAAATGAAACACTGGCTAACGTGACACCAGTGGATAACCTCAGTATTTGTTGGCAAAGATCCACAACAGACCATTCAGACAGCACAAATCCCAAACAGTCTGCCAACATCAGTCGTGAGGACTACACTGAAAGGCAATAATAAATCCGGATTTTTTATTTTTATTTTTTTAAATAAATAAAGAGCTTTAAAACGATGGTGTACTTACATTTTCCTGGTACTAATGGATAGACAGCTGTGCTGAAATCCGGACTGTAAATGTTAGCGCGTGATAAGTGGCTGGCAGATGGATCTGGATTGCCTTCTGCGCTCCTCTCTACCCTCTGGCACCCTTTGGTTGGTTATTGTGGCGTTTCCCTGCCTATATAGCCCAGGAGGAAAACTGGCGTGGATCTGCCACTGAGATGTGTTCCCTCGCTACAAAACCCCGTTTTCCTCTTCCTATTTCTACAGTGATGCGGCACCTGCAGGCTATTGCCAGAGCCAGGCGCTGTCAGAGTCCGTGCAGTAATGAAGGTGTAATAAACAGCCGCCTGGATTAGGTGGACAAAGATGGCTCGGTGACGTCAATCGCGGCGAGTTTCATGTTGAAATGGTTGGCCGGAGACTTCAGACACACCGTTTAACGCCCAGGACAGCGCTGTTTTTATCTGTAGCTGGTATTGGGACTCAGTGCACGTTTCCTTTACAGGCATTACATGTCATGATCATGCTTGGGGTTATAGCTCCTGTAAAGGGATTATTTTGATTGCAAGTCTGTATGTCAACAAAATGGCGTTCCTCGAAAGGGGGTGTGGCGTGATTCGCAGTGGGTGTCTGGTTATCATTCATAGTAGGCTGTAAATGGACAGGGATGTAGTGGAGGGTAAACCCACCTGAAAGCAATTCAGCAAATGAAGGTTATTGGCTAGCATGAATCTGCACGACACTCAATTAAGTGCTGTAAATTGTAAAATGTCTGACATGCTCGCAAGCTTGGCCCTTGGGGCTCCTTTCTGCTCTCTGAGGGGGGTGTAATAGAGTTGTACAAGCAAAGTAAAACAAAAAATACAAATTATTACAAAATAATGAAAGGACGATTAAGATTTCTCGACTAAGAAGATTTATCTTCACTGACTGTAGTTGAATTTATAAAAATGATAAGTGCATGATGACCCAAAGTAGTTTTAGCTTTCCTTCTTAAACAGTAGTGTAAGCCAACAAGGAAATGCATAAACATGCTAAAATGTCTCTTTCTTAATTTGTTAGTGTTAATTCAATTAAGTGTCCTTAGTTGACAGTCATCTTCAATCTACTATCTTCATAGACAATGTCAGACAGACATGAGAATAGGATCTGGGGTATATTGGGGAGACTAAACACCACTACACAAACGCATGGCTCAACACAGAAGGGCCAACTCCTCAGGTCAAGACTCTGCAGTTTTACTTACATCTGAAGGACAGAGGACACTCGTTTGAGGACCACCAGGTGCACATTTTAGACAGAGAAGATGGATGGTTTGAAAGAGGTGTCAAGGAAGCCATCTACACCCGGGTCGAGAAGCCGTCATTGAACAGGGGAGGGGGTCTACGCCACCACTTATCCCCCACTTACAATGCTGTCCTTTCATCACTTCCCAGGAAACTCAACAAACGTAACCTATTGGCCTCAGGTGAAGATACCAACGATGGTCGTTCAGTCTTGGCCACAGGTAGTCTTAACGACTGTAACGACTGTCGTCACAGCAACAAGGAACACTAACAAACCAGCGGTATCGATGACCCGGGCCAACGACCCCACTGAGATTAAATAGCTGAGTTTCCCTGCCAGTCAGTCAGAACTGAAGAAGTCTTTTGGATGAGGGACGAAACGTCTTCCAGTATCTTCAACCAAGTCCAGTTGCCCTTGATTTTAACCTTCGTTGGATGACCTGGATGACTGAGAATCTTCATAGACATGAGAATAGGATGATAACATTTTTAAGATGTAGAAGTTTTGAATGCCTGTACCACACTGTAAACCCAAAAAGAGCAGAAGCAGCCATCACCTTGTGAAGGACCTAATCAACAATCTGTACATCAATAGGCCTCAGTGGGTTTTATCTTTGGCCCCGTGTACTGCTAAAAATAAAGCTTCACTAACATGTCTGTAACAAGAATAAATACCATACAAACACAAAAGACGTACGCAGTTTAGACAGGTTTTTGCATGCACTATAATCATGCTGATGTTGGGAAAGACACTTTATTGTGTATATTTGTTTTGTACGTGCAAAAGTTTACTGGTCACTAACACTCAAACATCCAGTTACATATTGAACCTGCTAAACCCAACTTGACCTCACATGACACATCAGTTGGCTTTCTCTGCAGCATTAACCCCACGGGCTCAACTAAATTAACCAGTCTCATGTGAGATGTCTAAGTCTGTCTCACCAATGAACTCTACCTCAACCAAATACCTGTTAGATGTTTTTTCTAGGATAGTTTCTTCTTTCTTAACTTACAAAACATTTTCTGATGGGAGGCAGAAACATTGCATGTTGCATCCTTACCTTGATAGATAAGTAACATTAATATTAAAACTGAACAAAAATGTTGGAAGATAGACTCGTAATTTTTTTAACACCACATACAGGTGCTGGTCATATAATTAGAATATCATCAAAACGTTGATTTATTTCAGTAATTCCATTCAAAAAGAGAAACTTGTATAATGCATACATTCATTCCACACAGACTGATATATTTCAAGTGTTCATTCCTTTTAATTTTGATGATTATAACTGACAACTAATGAAAACCCCAAAATCAGTATCTCAGAAAATTAGAATATTGTGAAAAGGTTCAATATTGAAGACGCCTGGTGCCACACTCTAATAGGCTAATTAACTCAAAACACCTGCAAAGGCCTTTAAATGGTCTCTCAGTCTAGTTCTGTAGGCTACACAATCATGGGGAAGACTGCTGACTTGACAGCTGTCCAAAAGACAACCATTGACACCTTGCACAAGGAGGGCAAGACACAAAAGGTCATTGCTAAAGAGGCTGGCTGTTCACAGAGCTCTGTGTCCAAGCACATTAATAGAGAGGCGAAGGGAAGGAAAAGATGTGGTAGAAAAAAGTGTACAAACAATAGGGATAACCGCACCCTGGAGAGGATTGTGAAACAAAACCCATTCAAAATGTGGGGGAGATTCACAAAGAGTGAACTGCAGCTGGAGTCAGTGCTTCAAGAACCACCACGCACAGACATACGCAAGACATGGGTTTCAGCTGTCGCACTCCTTGTGTCAAGCCTCTCTTAACAAGACACAGCATCAGAAGCGTCTCGCCTGGGCTAAAGACAAAAAGGACTGGACTGCTGAGTGGTCCAAAGTTATGTTCTCTGATGAAAGTAAATTTTGCATTTCCTTTGGAAATCAAGGTCCCAGAGTCTGGAGGAAGAGAGGAGAGGCACAAACTCAACGTTGCTTGAAGTCCAGTGTAAAGTTTCCACAGTCAGTGATGGTTTGGGGTTCCATGTCATCTGCTGGTGTTGGTCCACTGTGTTTTCTGAGGTCCAAGGTCAACGCAGCCATCTACCAGGAAGTTTTAGAGCACTTCATGCTTCCTGCTGCTGACCAACTTTATGGAGATGCAGATTTCATTTTCCAACAGGACTTGGCACCCGCACACAGTGCCAAAGCTACCAGTACCTGGTTTAAGGACCATGGCATCCCTGTTCTTAATTGGCCAGAAAACTTGCCTGACCTTAACCCTATAGAAAATCTATGGGCTATTGTGAAGAGGAAGATGCGATACGCCAGACCCAGCAATGCAGAAGAGCTGAAGGCCACTATCAGAGCAACCTGGGCTCTCATAACACCTGAGCAGTGCCACTGACTGATGGACTCCATGCCACGCCGCATTGCTGCAGTAATTCAGGCAAAAGGAGCCCCAACTAAGTATTGAGTGCTGTACATGCTCATACTTTTCATGTTCATACTTTTCAGTTGGCCAACATTTCTAAAAATCCTTTTTTTGTATTGGTCTTAAGTAATATTCAAATTTTCGGAGATACTGATTTTGGGATTTTCATTAGTTGTCAGTTTTAATCATCACAATTAAATGAAATAAACATTTGAAATATATCAGTCTGTGTGTAATGAATGAATATAATATCCAAGTTTCACTTTTTGAATGGAATTACTGAAATAAATCAACTTTTTGATATTCTAATTATATGACCAGCACCTGTATTTACTATAGTTTCTCTATACGGTTTGTTTTAATTTGTTAATATTGTCCTCAATTGCTGTTTGTTTTATCCACTATCACCTTGTTCAATTAAACATTTTTTGTTAGGATATATAACCCATATTATTGCAGATTTTCACTGCAACTGCAATTACCCTATAACAAGTGTTGTAGGGTAAATCATTTTGCGACAACAAATTGTCAACTGAATGCTGTATGTACAAGCTGTTTATATATTTCATGGTTCCAAAAAGGATGTAGGTTCATAGAGTTCTTGTAGTTCGTAGGGTGAAGTTAATGTATAGATATTTCTTGGAGCCCACATGGTGGTGCCATTGGACAGCTTGGTTTCATTGCAGCCCTAAAAGTAGGTGCAGAGGGAGCCTTCATGGTTGTGACCCTGAGAGTTTGTCTTGTCTTCAGTTGCTATCTGCAGAGCCCTAACCCTGTATACTCTAACCCTGTTGGAGTATACTGGCACCTTTAGAAGACATGAGTAAATTCAGCAGACCAGCGTTTCTGGAGATGAAAATGGATGTTTTGTGATGTATTTTGTACTTACAGACACATAGGGCCGTACTTGTGAAATTATAACTTCATTCAAAGTAAATAATCTTTAATATTGCATTTCTGGCATCTTTAACTCATTCTTTTAAATGTATATTGAAATTCATATAAATTCCGTCATCATGCTTCTTTCATGAACTTAACAAAAAAGTGAAATGCTACTAAAATCAGATTCGGGAAGAATTATCACCACCTACTGCATGCCTTGTTGTTGCAGATGTTTGCAGTCAGCCCAAGGTTTGAACACACACTATGATGATGGTTTCACTTTCATTACTCTGTGTCATGTTGAATTTTGCTACTTATTCAACTTATTGCCTTATTTTGACATATTCTATTCAAAATGAATATTAAATATAGCACATTTATACAAATTTATTTTTTCAGATTTACATATAGAACATACTGCTACATAGTTACATAGAACAAACTGCCAAATAATTACCCAAAACTATAAAACAGAATAAGTATCAAACTTTAAATTTCAGTAAGGTCTCCTGGATTTGCTAATCACTGACACTGCCATGTGTTTTCCTGCCTTCTGTAGATCTGGTGGAAGGAATTATGGGCACTTAGGAGATTTCCTGCTGCCTTAATTTTCCTTTAGGGCTCTGGAGAACAGGTTTCCACATTAACACAGTCAAAGACACAGTTGCAACAGCGCTGGGAAATTTATTTTTTTGTTTAAAAGTGCCTTTACAGTACCCCATGAGGTATACAATTTTGATGAGATGAGACGTGAGGTTGTCAATGACTGACTGAAATATGTCGTGTAGAAGACATTATCATCATGTGGAGTTACACATACTACATGAACAGTTTCAGAATCTCAGTCACATGGCACAATCTAATACAAACCGAAAATAAAAACA